TACCTGACTTGTGAGGTCACTTCCTGTTCCTCAAGCATCCTTCAGCAGCTGCATGGAGGATGCCCTGGATTTGTCTGTGAAGATCCAAGCCAGCCACAGTGCTGAGCTGCAGGAATTACCGCCTGGCTTCTACACTCTGGCCTTGGGGCCTGGATCACCTCCCGAAGGAAGCTTGTCTCTGAGGAGGCTTTGAAAACCTCCAGTCTTCCTTTCTACACATCCCTGCCCACCCCATTTCTCCACTGTTTTTCTTTTCTTTTTGTGTATGTGTGTGTGTGTGTGTGTGTGTTCACGTGAGTGTAGGTGCTTGCAGAGGCCAAAAGAGGGCACTGGATCCCCTGAAGCTGGAATGGCTGGTGTTTGTGCTAGGAACTGAACTCAAGGGATCCTCTGCAAGAGCAGTATGCTTTTGTTGTTGCTGTTTGTTTGTTTTGTTGCTGTCATCATTGGGTTATTTTGTTTTGTTTTGCTTTGCTTTGCTTTGCTTTGGAGGGGGGATGGCTCATCGGGAAAATGTATCTGTCACCAAGCCTGCTGACCTGAGCTTGATCCTGGCCCCACATGGTAGAAGGAGAGAACTGACCCCCACATGCTGTTCTCTGATCTCACATGTGCACTGTGGCACGCATGTGTGCACACACCTGCATCCGCACAAATAAATGGCTGTGCTGTGAGACTACATCTCCTAGGAACATCAGAAACTATGCCTATAAAGTCTCACCAGCATGACCGCCTAAATGTGAGCTGAACAAGGAGGGTACCAACGATTATGTCAACAGGAAAAACCTCCAGGCAACTGAGGAAAGCTGAGAGTGGGTGGTCCTCCCCAGAGAAGAATACAACATGGTTGTCCCGCGCCAAAGGGTCAGCCCTGAAAACATGCACACAAGTAGCATGATATAAACTCAACAGGCTATATTTAGAAATATAGAAGTTACACAAATACATATATGCATGCAATCATAATGAAAAAAGACACTAATTTGAGGGAGAGTGGGGAGGTGTAATATGGAAGGGTTTGGAGGGAGGGGATGGAAAGGAGAAATTTATTTCAAGAATAAACAAAACATTTAATTTAAAAAAAGAAAATAGCTGAAAGTGTGTTGGTTTAAATGAAAGCAGCCCCATTGGCTTATTTATATATTTGGGTACTTGATCCCCAGTGAGTGGAATCCTTTGAAAAGGATTAGGGGGTGTGGTCTTATTGGAGGAGGTGTGTCATTGTGGTGGGCTTTGGGGTTTCCCAGTTTCTCTCCCTCTCTTTCTCAGCCTCACAGTTATTTCTCAAGATAGAAACTCTCAGCTGCTGCTCCAGTACCATGTCCTGTCTGCCTGTTGCTGTGTTCCCTGGATGGTGATCATGGATGATCAGACCTCTGGAGCCATGAGCCCCACATAAACCTCCCTTCTATAAGTTGTCTTGGTTATGGTGTTTCATTACAGCAATAGAAAAGTAATGAATAAACCTAGGAGTATGCATCTTTCACAATTATTTCACCTTCAAAATGAAAGAACAAACAAATAAATACAACTAATATATGTGCATGAAAAATAGAAAGGAGTGAAAGACTTTAACTCCACTTATGTTCAAGGGAAAAAGTAGAATGTTTTGTGATTGAATGGAAAGCAGACCCAACTGTAATCTTAGAAAGTCATAAACAGTTGGATGAATTAAGATTAATGTATTAAATATAATGGCAACATATCATGTGGATTGTTTTATTCATAGAAGTAAAATAACCATCAACAAAGGCTTAGTCAGTAAGGAAATGTCTTAGTTATTGCTGTGAAGAGACACCATGACCAAGGCAACTTATAAAAGAAAGCACTTAATTCGGGGCTGGCTTACAGTTTGAGGACATCAGTCAACTTTCATCATGGTGGGTAGCTTGGTGGCAGGCAGGTGGGCCTGACATTGGAGCAGCAACTGAGAGCTCACATCCTGATCCTTAAACAGGAGGCAAAGAGAGAGAGAGAGAGCTAACTGAGAATGGTATGGGCTTTGGGAACCTCACAGCCCATCCCCAGTGACATGCCTCCTCCAACAAGGCACACCTCCCAATCCTTCCTAAACCGTTCCATCAGCTGAAGACCAAGCACTCAAATATATGAGCCTATGGGAGTTGTTCTTATTCAAATCACCACAGAGAGCAGTAATTTTTTTTTTTTTTTGAGGAGAGGTTGAGACAGAGTATCTCTGTGTAGCCCTAGCTGTCATGGAACTAGCTCTTGTAGACCAGGCTGACCTCGAACTCACAGAGATCTGCCTACCTCTGCCTCCCAAGTGCTGGGATTAAAGGCATGCACCACCACCACCCAGCTGAGAACAGTAATGTTTTAAGATTCTACATTTCCCTCCTTTTCTGGAAAGAGATAAAAGTACTCATTAATGCCATAAGTATAAAAGTCAGTTATTATATGTTGTAAGCAGTAAGAATAATCATTGAAAAAACGCTTTAAAGAGTATTAAACATACAGGCTAACTGAAGAGGAAGCTTTCTATTATGCACAAAAACAGGTAACAGAAAATTTCAGAAATAAGCAATTCTTAAGTTTAAAAGTACATCTCAAAAAGAAACCTTGCTCTGTCCTGCCTCAGGCATGAATCATCCCTTTGTCTAATGTATTCACACTGTATATGCTACCTGCCCATTAGTCACCCAGTAGCCATTGGTTGTCAAGTCAACTGCAGCGCTATACCGGCCCTGGTATTCAGCAACCTTTATTTTATTTAATAATGGCCCCCGAGGAGTGTGAGGAGTGATTCTGGAATTTTTATTATGATTAATTATTATGGTTGTTACATCTTATCATTAGCTATTATTGCTGTTTTCTTACTGTACCTAATTTAGCAATTAAGGCTCGTTACATATGTGCATATACAGGATAAAATCCGGTGCGGAGAGATTTCAGTACTGTGTGTAGGTTCAGGCATGTTCCAGGGGATCTTGGAATGTGTCCTCTGCAGATAAGGGAGGGGAGACTACCTTACTTGAACCCAGAAAAAGTTTAAATAGCCTTAATCTGATACTAATTTCCTAAAAGGGCTCACTGTTTTCAAATCCTTCATGAACCATACATCCTGAGATTTCTCTGCAGAAACTCCCCAGGCAGTTCAACTGAAGCAGTGTCGTCTTCAGAGGCCTGCCCTGCAACTTCTGCATGCATTTCTGAGCAGTCCAAGATCTCCATTTCTAAATTGCATTGAAACAAAACTAAACAAAACACCAGCAGACCAGGTCTCACTAAGTAAAGCAGAATGGCTCAAGAGGGGGCTGGGTAAAACGTCTACCAGAAGTTCAGGGTGGCAGATCCCCTATGGAAAGGCTTATCTGTAGCCCCAGCATTAGAACAGGCAGAGAGAGGGGTGGAGTGGGTGTAGAGCAAAGCCCTGGAGCTCAGTTACCAGTAAGTTTACCCAATCAGTAAGCTCCAGGTTCAACAAAAGACCCCGTCTTAAAAATAAGGTGGACAGCAACTGAGGAAGGAAGATACACATACACACACATACACAAACACACATGCACACATATACACATATGCATACACGCATATGTTGGCGGAGACTTCTTGTTCATTCCTGGCCGCCTATACCCAAAATAATCATACAGAAACTATATTAATTACAACATTGCTTGGCCAACCACTTAAGTGTATTGCTGGCTAGCTCTTATATCTTAAATCAACCCATTTCCATTATTTTGTATTTTACCACTATGCTTGAGGTTTACCGGTAAGGTTTACCAGTAAGGTTTTGGTGTCTGTCTCCTTTGGCAGCTACATGGCATCTCCCTGACTCCACCTTCTTTTCTCCTCTATCTCTGCTTGGAATTCCTGCCTTGTTCTATTCTGCACTGCAATAAGCCCAAAGCATACAGAGGGGAACCCCATATCACACATACATGCATATATATACACATTCACACATAAACAACACACATATGCACAGGAATTGCTGTTGAGGTAGGGCTGGGTAAAACAGTGTCTACTACATACACGAACTCATAGGAACTGTGACTACCTGTACAAGATCAAACCGACCAACATGCCAGCATTGTCAGGGGAGAATCTCAGGAGTCCCCACTTCTAGATGAGGACCTATTGGCAGTTGGTGGCTTCTAAGGGAGGAGAGTCGATTCTCTTTCAGGATGTGATACCTGAAAGGTTGATCATGCTATAGGCGATGGCCCCACACACATGTGTATGTGGGCATCACTAATTAGACTCTACAGGTTGTTTTACGAGAAATAAATAAGAACAGAGAGTCCAGAGGAGGGAGCACAGGTGGGGTGCATCTGGGAGGAGCTAGGAGGAGAAATGGGGTGGATATGATCAATGGGGGACAACTGAGGCACACGGGAAATCTGACGCCGCTTTATAAACAAGCTTGTTAATTTGCGCTGGTTTATCTGAACACAACCCAGTTACAGCATTAATCGTCATGCATATTACCTTCAGACACCTGTCCCTGCTCTTTCCCCTGACAGAAGTGCCCACCTGCTGCATACCTGTCCTCCGCCATCACCAGGGAAGTCCCGTCTGAAGTACCAACCCAAGAGATACAAAATCTACAACTGGGACAAAAAAAAATCACATGCAATAACATTCATTTTCACTTTTATTGTTCCAGCTGTTACACTGCTAATTGATACAACCTATTTATTCATAAATAAATGTATTCATAGCAAAAATATGGATAAACAAACCTGAAGTGCTGTCTCTCTGAAGATTTTAGTTTCTGCCACCTTGGAAAACTCTTAAATGTCGTTATTATTGTTCAGTGGCTGGACAGGGGTTTTTCTTAAACTCAAGTACATTCTGCAGTTTAGTGAAGACAAGATTTCATTTGAATTCGGTAACTTAGGGTGGATTGGTCTGTTTTTGAGGTACCGAGCTGAGGATCCAAAATTACAAGTACATGGAAATATGTATTATATAGCATTAATGCAAACTCTGGTGGCCACAATAATACTTCCATCAAAAAGTCCCATATAGACTGTCCCCTGTGAGGTGCTCAGCTCCCGACTCGAGCTCCGCGGAGCGGGAAGAAAGGCCGTGCGTCCCCGGCCTTCGACAGGAACCGCGCTGAGCGTCCGCAGGGCAAGATGAGCGTGATCGCGGCAGCCGGGGAGCCTCTGCCCCGGCTCTGCTGCCTGGAGAAGGGTCCGAACGGCTACGGCTTCCACCTGCACGAGGAGAAGGGCAAGGTGGGCCAGTTTATCCGACTGGTGGAGCCCGGCTCGCCGGCCGAGAAGTCAGGGCTGCTGGCCGGGGACCGATTGGTGGAGGTGAACGGCGAGAATGTGGAGACTGAGACGCATCAGCAGGTGGTGAGCCGCATCGGCGCTCAACTCTGTGCGCCTGCTGGTGGTCGACCCCGCGACGGACGAGCATCTCAAGAAGCTGGGCNAACGGCCTCTCCTGAGTTCAGCTTTGAGACACTCTGTTCTTCGGCTGTGCTCAGCAGAGAGGAAACGTGAACTAAATGCTTGGGCTGGTCCCAGAATCACAGTGTGAGAACCTTAGAGCCACAGATCAGCTCTTCCAAGACTTCTCACTTTACACGTGAGAAAACCAAGGCCCAGAGAGGGAGGTCGGAGAGGAGCCCGGCCCAGGCTCCCAGGCCTCCCCTCGCTCCAGCTGTTTGTGTAGTCTCTGGGTATTTTCTTTGGCTCTTCCCATTTGTCTTGCTTCCCAGCTGACTGTCAGAGAAGCACTGGCTGGCTGGGTTCAGGACTGAGCACTTGAGGGAATCAGCATTCCCAGGAGGGACTTCCTCCGCCTGCCCTCCCCAGCACTGAGACCTGTGTGGGTCATCCCCGTCCCTGCCCTGCCTCACAGGTGAATGGTGTCTGCATGGAGGGCAAGCAGCATGGGGACGTGGTGTCTGCCATCAAGGCTGGAGGGGACGAGGCCAAGCTGCTGGTGGTGGACAAGGAAACCGATGAGTTCTTCAAGAAGTGCAAAGTGATCCCATCACAGGCACACCTGGATGGACCCTTGCCTGAGCCCTTCACCAACGGAGAGATACAAAAGGAGAGCAGCCGTGAAGGCCCGGCAGAGGCTGCTTCAGAGAGCCCCAGGCCAGCCCTGGCAAGATCTGCCTCCAGCGATACCAGTGAGGAGCTAAATTCCCAAGACAGCCCCAAGAGACAGGCGTCCACAGAGCCCTCATCTACCTCCTCCTCCTCTGACCCCATCTTGGACTTCAACATCTCCCTGGCTGTGGCTAAAGAGAGGGCCCACCAGAAGCGCAGTAGCAAGCGGGCCCCACAGATGGACTGGAGCAAGAAAAATGAACTGTTCAGCAACCTCTGAGCACCCGACCAGTCGCTGGCCAGTGCTGGATGGTGGAGCCACCCACCCACCTGACCTAGCCTCCCCTCCTCCCCAGTCACCCACCAATCAACATTCAAATCAGCATCAGCACCCCCCCCACCCCTTCCTGACAAATCTGATTTTAGGAATTCTGTCCTTCCCTCTCACCTTAGGGAAGGAGAATGTTTCTGTCCCGTCCCCGTACTTATCCCTGAGGGCTTCATCCTACCAAGTGTCCCTCACCGGTCTGCCTAGGACATCACTGGGACCCACACCAAGCAAGGATCTTTGGACCAGGCAAGTTCTCCCTCAACTACATGTGATGACAAGTCCTGGGCTCACTGGGGACTGACTGTAGCGGCCATTGCTTATAATGGACAGGGTGCCTGAGGTCCTCAGAGCTATGGCTTGGGCTTCTTTGATCCATTTGATTTTTTTTTTAAAGAGTGTAGCATTGCAGAATTTAGAGGGGTTCTTGTTTTCATGATTCTTGTGATTTTCCCGGTTGTTTGTACCCAGAGCATGGCAATGGCTTCACCCTTAAACTTTTGTTTCTACTCTCACTCTGAAAGACCTGGGCAGCACGGGAAACCCAGGCTGCCTCTGCCTGTCCTGAGCCAGGTGCCACCACTGTAAGGAAACGCCTTCAGAAATTCACTGGTTCCTTTAAAAAAAAAAGTCCCATATATGTGCTGGCATTAAAAATTTTATATGTCAGCTGGGCTTAGTGGCTCACACATTTAATCCCAGTGCTTGGAGGCAGAGGCAAGCGGATCTCTGTGAGTTTGAGGCCAGCCTGGTCTACATAGTGAGTTTTAGGACAGCCAGGGCTGTATAATGAGATTCTGCCTAAAAAATGGGGAAAAAAAAGCAAGAAAATTTTATATATATGAATGGTTTCTTGCAAGACATGATGTTATATGATTGCAATTTCAGCACTCAGGCAAGGGGATTGCAAGTTTTAGGCCCATCTCAGCTACACAGCAAGACTCTCAAAGACCTGACAGGACCTGGGAAATGGCTCAGTGAGTAAAGGCACTGACCACACATGCCTGCTGGTGCAAGTCCAATCCCCAGACCCACAGATGAAAGGCAGAACTGACTACAAAAAGCTGTCCTCAGACCTCTATGTGTGCACCGAGGCACGCATTCACCTGCACGTACATCTACATATGCATCCATACATGTAATATACACTCATACACACACTAATAAAACGTGAGGCTCTGGAGAGGGGGGTCAGTGGTTAAGAATGTTCATGGTGGTTAAGAGCACTCTTGCAGAGGATTAGAGCTTTGTTCCCAGGACCCAGTCAGAAGGTTCACAAGCACCTCTATCTCCAGCGCCAGGGGATCTGGCATCTTACTCTGGCTTTCGGGCGTGTGTGCTCAAAATGTACACATGGGGGGGGGGTCGGTTAAAAACAAAAGTAAGAATTTCTAAATCATGTCTTCCTGTGGTGCTGTTTACTGAAAGCAAGTAAGTAAAGCGGTCAAAACTCAAGGAGATGCATGTGCTAACATACAACTAGAGACAGATGCTACGGGATGCCAGTGATCTACTGTGTGCACGTCTTCCAAGGAGCTAACATTCCAGCCCCTGCCGGTTGCCAAGGCTGCAAACTGGACTTCTCAGTCACAATTGCCATTCGTGTTACTCAAGACTGACCTCTTAGGAGACATTTGACCCATAAAGTCAAAGATAAGACTCCCCCCCCCCCCGCCCAGAAAGCATCTTAAAATGTAGAAGGGGCCTGGGAAACTCATTCCCGCCCAAGCATATCTGCTGGGCTGTCACTCTGGATCCTGCTGCATCTGTGTCCCCAGCGGAGAGTCAGGCTGAGTCTCATTTTCCATCTTGCATATCTAGCAATGAGACTCAACATGATACAGACAACCAAAATCCCATCAGCTGTTGAGCCACTTAAACGTAGTCCCTAATCTCTGATTAGAGTCATAGTTCCCTCTCCTGGAAAACGGACTCTAACTCATTTGGCTTCTCAGAGCGACCTAGGAAGCTTTGTGCGGGGTCTCTCACAAAGCAGTCCCCCCCCCCATGCTTTGCACAAAGACTCCCATGGTCCTCAGCCCACAGTAAAAACTGGTAAGTACCTTAACTGTTAGCACAGAGATGTCTTCAAATCTAGGAGCTTAAAAGAACATGGGTTGGTTGTCTCATACAGGCTCTGAGGCTGAGGATTCAGGTGCAGTTTAGCTGGGCAATTCTAGCTCAGGGCCTCTGTGGGTATGTATTCAAATTTCCAGGGATTCAAATCTCAGAACTCGATTAGGGACATTTGACCCGTGAAGGCAAAGATCCACCTTTAATTCAAGTCCCCACCGGATATTTATTTGTTGAGGCTTCTGCTCCTCCCTGGATAATTGTCACCATCCCAAACATGGCTACCAGCGTCCCTCGGAATGAACAAGGAAGAGGAAGAGAACAAGAGTATGACCCCATGGTGGACCATACGCCTTGACAACCTCAATCTGGGGGTAATACACCATCACGTCAACCATACGTAGTTGGTCACCCAAGACTGTTCCTGGTCTAATTCCTTAAATGTGAAATGCCCCCCTCCCCAGGTTGATGTCCTGAGCACTTGGTACCTGATTGGTGATTGTGGCTTCTGAACCTTTGGGATGCAGTACCTAGTAGGTGGGTGGACCCAGGCTGCTGGAGTGGACCTCTTATGGTTATAACCACCTCCTGCTCTCGCAGAGTCCTCTGCTTCCTGGGTGGCCACGTGGAAGTAATGGCAGCCATGAGTTCCTGTCACTCTGACTGAAAAGATGTCAACCTTTATGCTGTCCCTACCACAGCAGACTGTCCCCTCAGGAAGCCCAAGTAAGAGTCAGCCTCGTCTCCTTTAAGTTGATTCTGGCCGGTATGTTGCTGCAACAACAAGAAAAGTAGTATGAGGTCATTGAGGACTGGCCTGGAGAAGTAAACCAGCCTGGGGCTGGAGAGATGGCGGTTATGGGCATTTACAGCTTTCCTGGGATCTGAGTTCAGTCTCCAGCACCCACATCACTCAGCCTGCGACAACCTGTAACTCCAACTCCATAAGTTCCAGCTCCCTCCTTCACCCTCTGCTTGCCACCGTGCACGTACGTCATAACATACACATGCATAAAAATTAAATCCTTATAAAAGTTTAAAAATGCATCTATCAGCAGGTAACACGTCTTTAATCCTAGCACTCAGGAGGAAGAGGCAGTTGGTCTCTGAATACGAGGTCATCCTGGTCTACAGCGCGTGTTCCAGGACAGCCAGGATTACACAGAGAAACCCTGTCTCAAAAACTAAACACCAAGGACAAACTAGCAATGCATCCATCAGGAACCTTGTATTTCCCATGTATTTGGCTCTCATGGGGAATTTCCCTTTCTAACAGCCTCTGGCCTTTGTTCTGCTTACCCCAGCCGTGGTCCCAGTGCCAAATGGTGGATCGGAGGCGTTGGTCCCTACCTCATGACTGACTGGAAACAATCTATCTATATTTACACTCTGGACCAGTTCACAGCAGGAATCCTGCATTATGAGTCCCGTGCAGACTTGTCCTCAGGTGATAGTCAAGAACTACAGGGCTTCAGGAAGTCAGTGAAGCCAAGAAGCCAGGATATCTGCTCATCCTGTCAATCAATTGCTGTAGCAATGGAGGTGCGAGCCGTCTGCATGCATCTCATTCCTGCTTTGCGTTTACGCTGTTTCTGAACTCAGGCAGGGGACAAAGACATCCTTTAGAAATCACTCAAGCCCCGAAGAAGTAATGGCAAAAAACAGAAAAAAAAAAAAAAAAAACAGAAAGAGGAGATGTCACCTAAGGGCACTTGGATATTATATTTCTGTAATTATAATTTAAGATCTCTTCCTCCATTTAAGAACTTTGTCCATAGTGTCCTCATTGAAATCAGGGAAGTTTTAATATATCAACTAGGTGACACCCCCTGCTGAGTTCTGTCCTTTAAAGTGTTTATCGTTGTAAGGGCTCTCCCTCCAGAAGCGAAGTTGGAAAATCAGGCACACAGAGCTTGGTTGTTTGGGCTTGGGTCACAATGGAATAGCCAAATCAGGCTCATGAATTGTCATTCCGCGGAGTCCTCACACAGTCGCTCGGATTCTGCATCCCACTGGACTCCAGCTGTGCCCGCTGCTGTGATCCTCTTCCCCGTTCCCGTAAGATATTAATGTAATGCTTCGATTTGAGCATAAGCTGACCCCATCTTTTCACGTTGTCTGGATCACGATGTAAACAGAAGCCCACTCGAGGTTTCCTTCATTAGCAGAGGCAGGACGCAAAAGGGGATGTACATGAGCGGCAGCTGAGTCTCTGACGGTCTCCCAGTGTGGCCTGTCCAGGGAAGGCTGTCCACCTATGATGTACACCGTGCTTTTCTTCGTGGATTTTAATGGATTGTTCATATATCCTGGGAGACCCAGATGGCTTTTGTTTCTTGGGAGACCGACTAAATATTATATCGAGGACTTGTGGCTACTCTCAAGGCATGTCTGGGAAATTCTAGTGGGGAGGTACATGTACATAATATCTTTAAAGAAAAAGAAAGAAAGAAAGGAAGGAAGGAAGGAAGGAAGGAAGGAAGGAAGGAAGGAAGGAAGGAAGGAAGGAAGGAGAAAAATACATTTATTGGGCTGGTGAGTTGCTCAGCATGCAAAGGAGAGAACCGGCCCCCACAGGCTGTCCTCTAACCTGAACACACACATGCCATAGTACATGAGCAACCATCACTCATGTACTCAAACATAATTTACATTTTAACATCTGCATGTGTGTGTCTGTGTGTGTGTTATCAGAGGACAACTTGTGGGCGTCAGTTCTCTCCTTCCATCTTGTGAGTTCCAGGGATCAAACTCAGGTCACCAGGCTTGGCAACAAGCTTTTACCCACTCGGGCATCCCGGCTTGCCCACACGATTTCCTTTATTCAGGTGAGACTCTGTCTCTAGCACTTAAAGACTGACCTTCTTGTAATTCCCATGGGACAAAGTCAGACCAGCATCCCAGACAGGTATACAGGAAGGAAGTTGCCAAAGACACCTAACTATAAAAGCCCTGGCTGGAAGAAAGGCCTTGATTTTTCATGGTAAAATGTTCCAGAATATTGATTTAAGCAAAAGGGATGGAGGGGGGAGAAGCAAGTGATGATCCACAGGGGGGAAAAAAACGGAAAATTTGACAAATCTCAGTCTCCAGGAATCAAGTGTTTGTGTGCAAGGGAAAACGGGGTAGGGAGAATCAAGCAGCCCATATGCCTAACCACATCAACTGTTGATGTGGAATTTCCCTCTGTATGCTGTGAATATGTTTTATTGCCATTGGTTAAAAAAAATAAGCTGCTTTGGCCTATGGCAGGGCAGAATAGAGTTAGGTAAGAAAACTGAACTGAATGCAGGGAGAAAGAAGGCTGAGTCAGGGAGACGCCATTAGCTGTCGAAGGAGAAAAATGCCAGAAACTTACTGGTAGGCCACAGTCTCATGGTGATACATAGATTAACAGAAATGGGTTAATTTAAGATATAAGAGCTATCTAGGAATACACTTGTGCCATCAGCCAAAAAATGTTGTAATTAATATAGTTTCTGTGTGATTATTCGGGTCAGGGCAGCCAGAAAACAAATGCGCAGTCTCTGCTCACAAACTTTCTTTAAAATTTTTAT